TGGAGGAGACGCAGTGGTCAGTGTGTACAGGCTCGACCCCGGCCAACGTGTAAACATGGCCAGGTGTCGGCCTGTCCGAGCGTCCGTGCAGTGGGTCACCCGCTGACTCGCAGGAGTGAACTGGTGAACCCCCGCATCCTGTAGGTCAGCACCACTCACCAAGTTCGTAGAGAACGAGGAGTGGTAAAGACCGGACAGGGTGCTTGAGGGGGTCGCCGGACACGGGAGGACAATGGAGAAGTGAACAAGGACAGGACTCCCAGAGGGGTCTTCCAGGGAGAATGCAACTGGCCGACCAAGCGGCGTGAGTGTGGTGCGGTCTCGAAAGAAAGAGCGAGAAGCCCCCGAGTCAAGTGTAAAGGTGTGGGAGGCCAAAGCCGACGTAGTACCTGAGAGAGCAGACTGACCAGTACCGGAGGAAGCAGACGCACTAGCACCTAGAGCAGCAGCCTCGCTAGCACCAAGAGTAGCAGCCTCACCAGCACTTAGAGTAGCAGTCTCTATGCCCGGGTCGGGCGGGAAACACCGGTAACAGTCACCCTCCTCACTAATAGACACAGTATACATAGCAGCAAGAATAGCATCAAAGTCAAGGTCAAAAATAGCTACCCCTGCCCTAGACAGCTCGCCCCAGCGAGAGATCTCAGTGGCCTCAGGGAACTGGTGACGCCAACCGTCCGTCTGGCGGCCAAAGCAGCGCTGGGTGGGGTGCGCACCCTCACACTGCTCACCCGCGCGGTCGCCGGTGCACAGGACGTACGTGCACGGACCAGTACCTCCACCCCGCTGGCGTGCAGCGTACCACTCACGGAGCTGCTGAGGGGACAGGGTCTCCCGACTGCGCTGCTGCTGCTGGCGCTGACCACCTCCGGAGCCACTCCTCTGCGAAGAGCCACGTCCTCCTCCTCCTCCGCCTCCGCCACCGCCTCCTCCACCTCCGCCACATCCACCCCCCCCGCTCCCATTGCCACCGCCGCCGCCGCCTCCGCCTCCACTGGCGCCGCCGACACCTCCACTCCCGCCACCACTCCCACCACTACCCCCACCCCCTCCAGTGCCTCCACTGCCGCCTCCACCGCCACCTCCACCACCCCCGCTAGCTCCTCCAGCGCCCCTGCCCCCCTTCCCCTTGCCAGAGCGACGCTTCCCACTAGGGGTAGACGCCGCACCGACCGAGTTAAGACCAACGAGGTCGGCTGCAGCAGCAGAGCCAACAGAGGGCAAAAGAGGGGAGAGGGAACACCCCTCAAAGATGGGGGTGCGAGGGTCACCACGAGAGGCTCCTACAGCTACTATGTTTTTTTCTTCTGCTAGGAGGGCCTTCTCGAGGAGGTCAACGGTGAGAGTGGTGGGGAAAACTGAGAGGAAGTGGTCCCTGACTACGCGAAGGGAGTCAGGGAGACGGGTGACTATGTAGTAGAGTGTGATGTACATGGGGGGGGGTTTCTTGGCGCAGACCTCAGCAGGAAGCGCAGCGCGGTAGGAAGTGTCACTAGTGCGGAGGTGCGTAATGAGGTCAGCGACTGTGGGAAATGCAGCAAGGTCAGGAAAGAGGTACGGTAGCATGAGGCGGCTCAGTGCAGCAGTGGCAGGGGAAGAGTAGCGTGCAACTACAGCGTTGTACAAGGTCTGAGCACTCTTGTACTGGCTAAAGTGCGCACGCTTAGAGGTAGGCAGGTGGCGACGCACAGCAAGACGTGCAGCAGCATCGCGCGTGGCCCACTGTGAGCGAACAGTGGCGTCAGGATCAGCAGCGGAGGCAGGAGAGGCACCAGAAGTGAGGTCAAAGAGGGAGAGGCCGTCTGCTCTATCGCACTGTAAGAAAAGCTTCAGGTCTTCTATCCAAACATCAAAGTCAATGGCCCGACTCTCAGCGTCAAAAGCGAGGACACTAGAGGTAGCCATGACAGCAGTAGACTAGCAGCGCAAACAGTAGGGTGAACGCAGTGCTGTGAAAGAGGCGCTGCTCTTACCGGACAGGGCGGCTCGGGCGGCTCGGCTGCAGGGCGACTCGGCGGCTCGGCAGCTGGGCGGCTCGACGGCTCGGCTGCTGGGCGGCTCGGCGGCTCGGCTGCTGGGCGGCTCGGCGGCTCTGCTGCTGGGCGGCTCGACGGCTCGGCTGCTGGGCGGCTTGGCTGCTGGGCGGCTCGGCGGCTCGGCGGCTCGGCTGCTGGGCGGCTCGGCTGCTGGGCGGCTCGGCTGCTGGGCGGCTCGGGTGCTGGGCGGCTTGGCTGCTGGGCGGCTCAGCTGCTTTGCGGCTCGGCGGGGCCGCTGAGAGGGCGGCGTCTGGGGCCGCTGGGAGGAGGCAGCGGGGCGGCTGATAGGTGGCGGGGCCGCAGGTAGGTGGCGGGACCGCAGGTAGGTGGCGGGGCCGCAGGTAGGTGGCGGGGCCGCTGATAGGTGGCGGGGCCGCAGGTAGGTGGCGGGGCCGTAGGTAGGTGGCGGGGCCGCAGGTAGGTGGCGGGGCCGCAGGTAGGTGGTGGGGCCGCTGATAGGTGGC